CCGCCCGCGGCGCTTCAAGCAACTATTTCACAACAGAAGTGTTGCACAGTATCATACGAAATTGAAGGCGCTCTAACATATTAAGAATGACAGGCATCATTTAAAAGTACGGAGCTTTCCTCGTAAAATGAATCCAGATACAACAGCACAAGCAAAAAGTGGTAGACCGTAAACTCACTGAGTCCTAGCATTCGTATATAATAACGTTTAGCATAAATTTTAATTTCATTAGAGAAAAAGTGACTGGATTTAGGCAGAAATATTCTTGAGTATGCCGTCAAGAAGATTTTAGTTTAAGGAATAAAATTGCTGAATGATAACGGGTTTCGGCTTGATGTAAGTGACTTTTCTTTTTATATCGATAAAGAGGGTGTTCACAGCGAACACCTTAATAATCGATTATTTACCTTAGGTTTAAATGGCATAACAATCGATACATCTAAATTCCTGCCACGCCACCGCCCTTATCTCAGCAATACTTTCTATCGATCAAGGGCATTCGATATCGTTTCAACAGTCGTCCTGCCGAAGCATATACTAGTGGAAAAGGTGCAAATTCAAGCATTACGATACCTTTGTCCTGACCTTTTCACGCCATACACGATTTGCGCAACGACGAACGAGTCTGGACGATTTAGTTCCAGGAACTTCGGGTTCGGACAAGTTATAGCTGAGCTTTAATACGTTCCTGGAACAAGTTCGCCCGAACTTCCTCGAACCGCGCTCGTGTGGACAAGTACTGTGGGATAAGCAATAGACTAACCTTTTGGAGCGTTCGTCACAAACCTGTGACACGCGGCGTGACGTCACAGGGTATGAAATCCGATTCGATCACAAGAAAAACAGGGGTACGTATTACGCACCGAAAGGGGAGAATGATGGGGCGTCATGCCACGTCATTAGTACGAGGGGCGTTCAATAAGTAAGTATCCCCCCTCTCTAAAATCCATTAGAATGGACCAAGTTTAAAAAAACTTGAGCTCAAAATCTTCCTTAGGATATTTTGAGTTCAACAAAACAAACCGCAACAAAATCGGACTATGTGCGGCCGAACGCGAGCCGTTTGAACGCGCCGAGGTGCTCGACGCTCCCGCCGAATCCGCGGGGATTTGAAGTCCGCGACAGGAGAAGAGCTTCTCTGCCAAAGCCTCAGTCGTTCATCACTGACGAAAAATCAAAGAAATTTTTGTAGAATAAGGGGCTTACCTCACTTCTCCACATAACCAGCTCGATCCAAGCAGGTCTGATACTGAGACTAAGAGAACAGCTTTTGGATGCCACGCGCGTAGAAATCTTTCAGCTGACCGGGGATGAAAGAGTGGACGACTTGTTTGACCTCTTCCACTGATTCAAAATTAACTCCTCTGAGTTCAGATTTCAGATACGATAATAAATGGCAAACCAGACCACCATTTATTCCCGTTCCTGAAATCTGATGGTGGAGTTAATGTTGAATCAGTGGAAGAGGTCAAACAAGTCGTCCACTCTTTCATCCCCGGTCAGCTGAAAGATTTCTACGCGCGTGGCATCCAAAAGCTGTTCTCTTAGTCTCAGTATCAGACCTGCTTGGATCGAGCTGGTTATGTGGAGAAGTGAGGTAAGCCCCTTATTCTACAAAAATTTCTTTGATTTTTCGTCAGTGATGAACGACTGAGGCTTTGGCAGAGAAGCTCTTCTCCTGTCGCGGACTTCAAATCCCCGCGGATTCGGCGGGAGCGTCGAGCACCTCGGCGCGTTCAAACGGCTCGCGTTCGGCCGCACATAGTCCGATTTTGTTGCGGTTTGTTTTGTTGAACTCAAAATATCCTAAGGAAGATTTTGAGCCCAAGTTTTTTTAAACTTGGTCCATTCTAATGGATTTTAGAGAGGGGGGATACTTACTTATTGAACGCCCCTCGTATCCTCGGCTGGAAAAACAGGCTTCGCAGATGTGCTTAGGAAAAATGTAGCACGGGATAACGAATTTTGCCAAATTTCTTCCGAAAAAATGTTTAGCCGCAAAAGGAGGTCGTCACCTTCTGGCCAAAGTATGTCACAAGCGCCATTGGGCGTTTTAAAATTTTCGCCACCAATTTATTTGCCTACAGAGCAATTTTTCAACGAAGCTGTCGAATATTTCACCGAATTTTTTTTGCTGCCGATAAAATTCAGTGAAATTTTTAAACAGATTCGACCAACAATGTCTCTGTAAAGAAAATAATTTGGCGCCGGAAATGTTAAAACGTCGTGCAACGTATGCGCAAACGGAAACTAATGGTACTTATAGGTATTGTAGAATTGAAATCCTGTTTCAAATTCCTCGCCAAGATTGAAACGAAACCAACGCAACTGAGCGATTTGTCGATTTTGGTTATGCTTAAACAAGGGAAAAGCATATCTTTGTTTCATTTGCTATGCCACATTTCCTCTGAATTTCCTCGAAATCTGAATTCAATACATGAAAGAGGAAATCTCTTTTTTTGTGTTCTCGGAAGGTTAAAACTTTCCGCTCAAAAAAACCACCAATCCCAAATTTGGTAAACTTGTTCAGCTCAATACGTCACCCGGACTAGCTCATCATCCACCTAGCATGTAAGATGACTGTTCCTACCATATACACTTATCCATAAGGAAGTATTGAATTTCCGAGGGTAAAAGTTTCCACCTGTCGCCAAGAAGCAGTGGAAGGTATCTGCTCTTCTTCCGACCTGTCCGTACTCTCCCTATATAGGAATCAGTTGTATTTTCAAAACGGAGCAGGTCCATTTTCCGATGAGACTTCGTTATCATGTCCTTTTATGCAAACTAAGATTCATGCAAAAATGGACTTGTTCCCTTTTGAAAACAACTGATTCATAGGTCCTCTACAATGTCAGAAGAGGAAGGAAATGTGTTTGAAACCATGCTTCAGTTACTTGCCTAACGTATAGGTACTGTTTTCCAATGTCTGTTTTGACACTTTCAATCACCGTTTTCGGTCGAGCAGAAAATTTTAATTTTTCATTTGCAATTATTTACAAACGTTAATTTTTCCTTCCTTATGTTTTATTTTTGGAGGCGGTAAATCAACGTAAATCCTTTCAAAGACCCATTTCCAAGGTTTTGACTTGAGGCGTTTGGGATGACTTTGACTTGAGGCCGTTGGAAAAACCGTTCTTTAACTGATGCTATTTTGAGGGCTTCCTTAAACCCACCTTAATCACACTGTAGGTAAAAGGAAGGTATGCTATTCACAAAAGAATGCCCCACACAAGATTTTTTTTTTTTTTTTTTTTTTGAAGGAATTTTATTTAAATATAACTTAACTACTACAAGTATTTTCTTGTATCTATCTACATGGTTTAAAGCTAAAACTAAACGAATTGCATTAAATTTACAGGGTAACTTTAGATAATACGACGATGATTCACAAGATATAGTGACCCATTTATACTTAGTCCATCGGTCCATTGCTGAAAAAATCAAATTTTTTCACGTTCTCTCAAAACTTTATTATTTTCAGCGATCACGTCCTCCTTCAAATAACCCGCAAAGTTCGGCAAGGCACAAATCGTCGTTTCCCTCACGAAAGAACGTAACTCCATTTCATTGCTGCCAAATTTCCCTTCGTATATTGCATATTGACTAGGAGAATCTTAAGCATCCCTAATTTTAATTTCACTGATTTTTCCTCAGATTTCATGCAAAAATCAGAAAATTTTAAGATAAAAATTGCACAGGTACATTTTTGTAAAATAGATGAATAGTTAAAGTCAATTTGGCAACCTTGAAATGGAGTTACGTTTCTTCGCACGGGAGATGATGAAATGTCAATACGACTTTTCTCGTAAACGCGGCATGGCAGTGCGGTATCGAATAACTAATGGGGCTCAATTTGTCTGGGCGGCCCGTGTGACGATATCAACCGAGCAAGGGGGTGGGGAGCCCCAACGGACTAATGACGCTCCCCCAGTTACCCAGTCCCCCGGTCGCCCGGAGACCCATCATTGCAACTTGATTCGAATTAAAAGTTATCATTCCGGAATGAGCCGTCCCGTCCCCGCCGGCGCTTACGTCGTCTTCTAATGAAAATGTTTTCCCCACTCCAGGCGAGAGCGGGGGGAGGGGGGGGGGGCTTCCGTTACCGGCCGGACGTGTCTCCCCGTTTCCACCAAGCCCCTGTTTTTCCGGCAATTCCACCCGGTTCATTATCGATTGCCAGTCTTAAATTTCCCGCACCAGGTCGCTTTTTCAATGTCTCGAACCAGAGATGAAATTTGCACGAAAAAAAATGTTTCCTTGAAATATCGAAGGGTTTTCGGGGGCTGTCTACGCAACCTGTATTCCGAGAACTATCCTAGAATTCGTTAGGTAACTTCAAAATTTGACTCGTATTATTTTTTCTAACGATTCAAAATTAAGATTTTACCGTTTCTATGCGTTTCGTTGCATACTGAGTATGTTGTAGAAGTTTTAAAGTAACTCATAAAGTTTCAAAAAATTTTATAAAGTCCGATGATGACATTTCATTTCATCAACTTGGATTACAATGCCGTGCGGGCTCAGACCCTGCTTCAATAAAACAAAATAATGTGCAATAGGATGTTTGAATTAACACAAATTTTACCTTAACATGGTACAAAATGAAAGAGCACCATGGCAAGGTAAAATTCTTGTAAATAGGAACATCCTCTCGCACATTATTTTTTATTAAAGCATGGCCTGAGTTTGCATGTCATTCTAGTGAAAATTGGATAATACTTAAGTATTTGAGTTGATTTCATTATGAGTAGTAGCCGATAACTGAACAATTTGGGTACGAAATATTGTGGGTCAAAAATTTATGGGTGAAAAGGTCTGGGTTTTTTATCCCGTAGGTGCTGAGTCCGTGGGTGAGAAGTCCCGGAATCATCTTAATGCTTGAATTCGTATCTTGTCAACTGGTCCATCGTCCATTGGGAGGAATTGCTCCTTATACCTGGATGATCTGAGCCTGCAATGTCTGATAGCCCTCTAATCCGCTCTTTTTGGTGTGTTGGCAGGTACGGGTGCTCGCACCACAGCCGGTCGCAGTCGGTGAAGACGCCCGGTCGTTCGGGGGGCGGCCCGGGGGGGCTGCGGCCCAACTACCTGTGCCTGCCCCAGCAGCGCTCTCGGGTGGCCTCGATGCCGAACACGGGCGTGGAGGAGGAGTACTACCGCCTCCGGCAGTTCACCGTCACCGGGAACAAGGTCGTCAACCGCGGCGACTCCCTCAAGAGCCGCCGCTCCCGCAGCAACAACAGCGTCGCTTCCAGTAACTCCAGCCACAGGTAGGAACTTCCTTCACCCTACACCATTGAATCCAGAGTGCCGGATACACCTGCGAGCTAGACGCGCGTCCTGTGCGGCGAGTAGGTTTACGACCATGTTCGGAAATCTCCGTAGCCAATCAGGTCAGGTTGCAACTCGCCGCCCGTAACTAGAGTACCTGTATAGCGAGAGTACAGACAGATGTGAAACTCCGAAAATCCATCAGGCCTTCACCGATGCCTCCGCGAATAAAGTTAGAGCCCAGAAATGCAGCCAACCTATGAATTTCAATTATCCAGAGCGATTTACTAATACAATTGTTACGAACCATCGTTTATAAAGCACGTATTTGACTTAGTTTTTGCGTAAATTTACTCATTTTTGCGGAAGAACGCTCATTTATATGCATTCTTAGCCATCTTGGTTAGAATTGGAATCTGCAGACTGGCCTGACTGGCAGTGAAATTTTGTGCGTTAGAAGTTGGTTAGAAGGGTGGCTGCACTTTTGGGCCCTAAGCCCTCCATGAAGCGATCTGTCCATACTCTCGCTATATAGGTATACTCTACCCGTAACTCGCTCAAAGTAGGATCGGATCCCAATTTTCACGTCTAAACGCGCGTCTAGCGAGCTGGTGTATCGGCGAAAGGGGTTGAGCTCTTCACATAGAGTTCCGATCTTGTTCTACTTGTCTTTTTTTTCCAGGCAACGTGCATGTAAAACACCGATCCAACAGGAAACGTACCCAAACTCGTCGTTCCTCGGACGAAAAAATGTAACTCCTTTTCAAGGTTGAGAGATTGAATCAAACGATTCGATGTTTTACAAGAATTTACCCGTACAATTTCTCCAGAAATATTCGTGATTTTTGCGTGAGATCAGGGAAAAAATCAAGAAAATTTTCAGTTAGAAATGCCTAAGATTATCCAGGTAAAAGTACCATGCATGAGATAAAGTCTAGCAACATTGAAATGTAGTTTTGTTCTTTCGTGAGATAATTTTCAGTTGGAAAATTTTTATGTGAAAATACCTAAGATTTTCCAGGGAAAAATACCATCTATGGAGCGAAGTTTAGCAACACTGAAATGTAGTTGCGTTCTTTCGTGAGGGGATTGACAAATCGACAAGTAATTCAAATTAAGGGCGCTCTGCTTGAAGTATATAAAATCAATTTCGCTGCAGTGGCATGGCGTGCTTTGCGATCTGTCGATATTCCCCCATTTGAGGTTGTGGTAAATAATCGATTATTAAGGTGTTCGCTGCGAACATCCTGTTTATCGATACTTTTCCATAGGTTTAAATGGCCGATCAATCGATATATCGCAAATCACGCCACGCCACTGTTTCGCTGGTAATGCAGGCCCGTCCCTGGGCCGCACAGTGGATCGAGTCAATCAGAGAGATCGGACATGACATTTTCTACTAAAACTGCAAATTTTGATGATTATTTCGTCATATTTTAAGGGGTGCTTCCGGAAGAAAATTTCACGAGAAAACTAATGAAACCACTTTTAAAACCTCAAAGTTTTGTATGAACGGAGTTATAAGCGTTTAAAATCCTCAGAGTTCGTCCGACCTTTCCCATTGACTCGATCCACTGTGGGCCGGCTTAGGGTGCGGCTTATACGAGAAATTGAAAAGGTTGAATTTTGAAATTGACAAGGGACCCCACCAAAACGTTCCTAATAGTGTAAAAACAAACGTTGTAGAACAGTTTTGCATTTGGTCAACATTTAGAGGTTGCGACGGGCCTTTAAAGTTGCCAAATTTGGCTAATTTTCGCATTTTTTCGTCAATTTTGGCAAATTTTCCCAGGCCTTACTGAGAGTTCTAGTCGATCAATTTATTCATAAATAGGCAGTACATAACCTAAAATGTACCCCATCCTCCACCTTAAGCCCCCCAGCCCCCCTCCCTCACCGATCCAATATAAATACACTCTTTATAAACTACGCTATTTTGGTAGTGACCAGAGATCTTAAGTAACATTGGTCAACAGGGGTTCAAATGTGATTGTACTAGGGTAGTTTTTAGCGCTGAGTCCGAAAATGACCTCCGTTATGTTGGGTCAGGTCGATTTTCCCCGGAAAAATCAGGATTTTCCTAAAAAATCGAGCTTTTCCGGTGGAAAATCAATTTTCCGGAAAATCTGTGCACGATGGAGGAAAGATAAGGTCATTTTCGGATTCAGCAGCTAAAATTACATGGGAATTCATATATTGCATGCCTATTGAAGTTTCCGTTCTGTTCCAAATATCGAGGTTTTTCCGGACAAGTGCCCCTTTCCGCCCATGTAACGCATGTAATACCAGTCCGATTGATTTGCGTCGGAAAGGAGGGAAAATATTTTTTCTCAGGCGACAGGTGGAGTTGACTCCACTAAATTATTGCCACTGCAGCCGAAAATGACCCTCGTTTTCTTCCAAAATCTATCAATTTTTTTTAAAAATCTTTTTTTTCGGAATAAAATGCACCTTTTTAACTCAAAAACGTTTCAAAACATCCCCTCTTTTCGGAATCTGAATTTTCCAAAGGTTCTGAAAGGAAACGAGGGTCATTTTCGGCTGCAGTGGCAATAATTTAGTGGAGTCAACTCCACCTGTCGCCTGAGAAAAAATATTTTCCCTCCTTTCCGACGCAAATCAATCGGACTGGTATTACATGCGTTACATGGGCGGAAAGGGGCACTTGTCCGGAAAAACCTCGATATTTGGAACAGAACGGAAACTTCAATAGGCATGCAATATGTGGATTCCCATGTAATTTTAGCTGCTAAATCCGAAAATGACCTTATCTTTCCTCCATCGTGCACAGATTTTCCGGAAAATTGATTTTCCACCGAAAAAGCTCGATTTTTTAGGAAAATCCTGATTTTTCCGGGGAAAATCGACCTGACCCAACATAACGGAGGTCATTTTCGGACTCAGCGCTAAAAACTACCCTAGTACAATCACATTTGAACCCCTGTTGACCAGTGTTACTTAAGATCTCTGGTCACTACCAAAATAGCGTAGTTTATAAAGAGTGTATTTATATTGGATCGGTGAGGGAGGGGGGCTGGGGGGCTTAAAGTGGAGGATGGGGTACATTTTAGGTTATGTACTGCCTATTTATGAATAAATTGATCGATTAGAACTCTCAGTAAGGCCTGGGAAAATTTGCCAAAATTGACGAAAAAATGCGAAAATTAGCCAAATTTGGCAACTTTAAAGGCCCGTCGCAACCTCTAAATGTTGACCAAATGCAAAACTGTTCTACAACGTTTGTTTTTACACTATTAGGCACGTTTTGGCGGGGTCCCTTGTCAATTTCAAAATTCAACCTAGGCTTTTTAATTTCTCGTATAAGCCGCACCCTAGGCCGGCTCTTGTAAGTGCAGCCGTATAACGAGGGCTCAAAAGATCATCACGGATCTAATTCCTCTTTAAAGACAAGTGCCCCTGGCCTTTATACTGCCAAGTTGCGCTGGACGTAAAACTAAGTGCCGCTCGGTAATGAAGCCTGCTCTTGACCCCCTCTTCTCTTTTATAGAATTTCAAACTTTTTCTCGCGGCAACTTTTTTCCCGCCGTGTCTTTGGTGAAATAACTGAGAACGATGCGGGGGGCTACACAAAGAGAGATGCACCGTCCGGAAGTAGTCCCAACTACATTACTCACCGAGTAACTTTCAAAAGCGTGCCTAGCCACGGTTGCCAGCTCAGAGGGTTGATTATTGGCATTAATAGATAAACACGGGGAAAAAAAGTGTAAGGGTTTATCCCCTATAATTGCGTTACTACCCCAATTTGATGGGTGATTTGGACATTTCCAATTAATTGTAGTAATACCGCAACTCAAGTTGAGGTTGTACCGTAACATTTGGGTTAGTAACCTAATTTATTGGGGCACTACCACGATCAGTAGTTGGGGCACTACTGCAAGTAATAGGGGTTCTACCACAATTAATTGAAAATGCCCATATCCTCCAACAACCTCATGCTTTTTTTTTTTTTATCCGTGTAACCGACAGGAAACATGGATAAGGGGAAAATTGAGCGATCCTATGGGCCTTTCGCACTCAACATTTTAATTTGGAACGCGGTAGACAGAAAGGAACCTAGTCACATCTGCTGTTGCTAAAATTAATTAGGCAATTTAATTTTTTACTTGAAAATGGTTGTGCAGATTTTTCTGCAAATTTCAGTGAATTTTCTCCACGTTACGAAGCAAATTCCCTACAATTTTCAAAAGAACCCGCTCAAACGTTCTCTCGTAATAAATTCAATTGTCCAGTTAAATTTGGCAATAGCTAATGTGGCTTGGTTCCTTTCTCTTAAACGCGGTCCATTTGGAACACATGTTGAAACGCATATCCTTTCTTGGCGCCATCCTCAGCCATTAGTGAATTTGGAACCATATAGAGAAGCGAGAACGAATTTTTTTTAAAAAAAAATTGTATTCAAAAGCCATCCATCAAAACGGCCAAGAAGAAAACAATTTTTTAACTTTGTTCTAGTAATGTTGCCATCCAATTGTGTACCTTTTCTTCCTCGGATCATATTTCATTTTTTTAAAACTAATATTTCAAAAAACGTTTCAAAAGCACGCAAATTTAGGTTTGCTGAAAGATGTACAATCATATTGGCACAATCTCAACCAGCAAAACAAAATTGAGTGGCTTTGTTTGCGCATTGGCTGTTTATTGTCTTTGATAGATGAAGCGATGGGCAAAATGAACAAAGGGAAAATGGAGTGACCTTATGGGCTTGTTGTAAACTTCAGCAAGAGCAAAAAGAGGAGTTCTTTTTCATAGAAAAGTGGCTCAAAAAATGAGCGCATTGGAAAAGTCTGAGATACACTCCTAACTTCATTACCTACCTAAGAAATATCGACGGTGTAAGTCACCACGTGTCTCATTTGCGGTGTTTGAAAATCTACGCCCCTTTTTTGTTTTTTTGAAAAATGAATCGACATAATTCATCCAAGTTTACGCAGAATTTTCTTCGCTGAGAGAAGGTAAATCACGGCAGTTTTCAAGAATT